TTAAATTACCATTGATTTAAAATTGTTTTACTCTTTAGAAACGCGTTTTAAAAACACAAACATAAACAAAGCAAACACGGGGTTTCAGATAGCTTTGTGATCTTTGAGCTAGTAAAAAATAATTGAATGTGTAGTATAAGTTGAAACAGAAGGTATTTAAACACTAAGTTAGCTGTGAATACATATATATTGCATTCAAAGCTTTTTTTTTTTAAAATTTTTAAATTTTTTTTTTTAAGAAAGCTTACCGAGTTTAAGAAAAAAGTAACGATTTCATTCGATATTTCCGTTACAAATACTTTTACTTTTTCCCTAAAAAAGTAACGAAAGTACAAGTAAAAGTACTAAATCAAAAAAGTAACGACGTACAAGTAAAAGTACGTACTTTTTACTTGTACCGGCGGTACAAGTAACGAAAGTAAAAGTACTGCCATGTATGGTGTTGGTATAAAGTGCTTAATTTTCTATCTTTTAAAAAGAGATTTTTTCTTTGTCGTTTCGATTGTCGTTCTAAATTACAAAAATTTCATGATTTTCACAATTTTCTCTGCAATATTTATCAGAAACTAGTTATTTTATCACGATTATGTAGAGTTTTTCAAAATTTTTTTGAATTTTATGTTTATAAATGAAGAACTTTAAAGGATACAAAAAAATAATTTTTATTATGTCACTGATCCTAGTTATGATTTTTTTTTTTTTGGAAAGTGATTTAAGGTATTTTTTCGTGCGCTTAAAAGGTGCCAATTTTTTGTTGAAAATTCTGCCTACGCACCTTGTTGAATTATTTTTTATTTGTTTTTAATGTCGCAGCTGTGGCAAGTTCAATAAATACAACAGAAAGTCTTTTAACCGTGATAAAGTTGGTAACTAAAGCCAGGCATATCATGAATTTATGAATTTCGTGAACTTAAACTATTCGGAAAGAACCGAGTGGAACCTTATTAAAAAAGAAACATTTCAGACTAATTTAATTGGAGGTTGACTAACTTCTGTTTCAGAGCAAAGACATAGACGGCGACAACAAACATCAAGGTCAATTCCGATTTTCCTCATAGCATCGGGTGAATGCTCTGCAATGTTAACATTATTGTAATTAGCATCCCAAACCTCAAACTCATTATAATAAATTATGCAATCTTATGTCTAGTCATTACGATAAATTGCAGAGCATTTAATTTATCACCAAAATTATATTTCTTATTATTATAATTAGAAGTTTTGATTTCATTAACGTTACGCGAAGTTTCATAACAGGTATTAACTCGAAAAAGCGCTGTTTTTAAAAGCATTTTATAACACGGTACTTTCTACGCAGTTAAATCGAAAGGATAAGAATAAATAATTTGATAGGATCTGTTTGTTTTATTTACTATACTTTTAGTCGTTAATTTTAGCCGTTTGGTTAAAAATTTCATTCGCTTTAAAATATACAAATTGGAAATACGAATATGTAAATGTCCGTTATCCAGCATACGTAAAATGCTGCACATTGTTAGAATCTTGTGCATAAATTCAATTTCAACAATGTCAAAATTATTACCCCCCTCCCAGACACATCAATTCAATTCGATGCCCTGGAATCTTGATTTGTTTATATAAATGCTTATTCCTTATGTTGACGACTTCACCACCACTCAATAGCGCGTTGATATGCATTTTCCCTCAATTTGCCCCTCTCAGCCACTGTGGTTTTTCCTGTTCCCTTTTTTTTTTTTTTTTCTCAGCTACTGTGGTTTTTCTAATTTTTTTCGCACCTTTACTTTTTTCATGTTTCGTTGGCAATGTTCTATTTCAAATCAATTTTTTTTTTCACATTCACGTCTAGAAAGTCTTGAAAATGAGCACCAATTTCTGAGCTCTTAAAATATGTCGATGATTCCAATCTCTATGGTTACTTTGCATAAGCTTAAATGACAGCAAAGGGTTAATGACGTAAATAATCCATATTAGAATGTCAATGAAATAAATAATCAATTAATTGCTAATTACCCATTTTTTGTAAAGGGTGAAAAAAAGTAAACAATCAATATATTAGTACTGACCAACACGAAGAAATCATCGCAAAGTTGAAAGATATGTATGTATCAACACAATCAATAAAGCTAAAAAAATTAATTTTTTTTTAATTGATTTTATTTTATCCTTCCCGGTGACTTTGCGTTATTAGATAAAGCAAAACACGTTTTACAACTCATTCCATCAGAATCAATATGCCAAATTTAATCGTTCTCGATCAGATGGCTTAGAAGTCTGTAAAGGAGAGACAGATATTTTTACATACGTTGATAATATCATAAATAACAATATGAAAATGTAATTGATATCTTTAAATTACATAAATCATTTATATTTACAGTTATTATATACTTATTATCCATAATGTTTAAACAATTATTTAATGTGGTAAGTGCAGTTTTAAGTGTGAACTTTCTTAAAACAGGACGAAACGAAATAGTGTAGCCTAGTTTTTAAAGGATTTTACTTCATATGTGTTTTTTTCTTCTCCTTCTTATATTGTGAGATGAAAAAGTACTGGCATTCTAGTCACTTACATACGCAAGAGTTCATTTAACCTTTTGCTACTTCAAAAACATCGCTGTGAAGAAAAATAATAACTCTTACTTTCACGTGAATTTATTGTATTGTTGTATGATTGACTCAGAAAGAAAAGAAGGTGTATTATAGTTTTACATAATAGAACGAAAAATAAAAGAACACAACTTAGTTGACACGCGATGCAAGGCAACTTGATAAACGAGTCATAAGTTTCTTCTTCTTCTTAGCTCTCTCCTATTCTAATTTGCGCGCTCACCAAAACAGTCTACTGAAACTCACTGCAAAGCGGAAAGTGTTCCATGCATTACAGAAATCAGAAGAATCTGTTTTATTTCTTGTCATTCGAACCATGAACGTCTTTTTTTTCGGTATTTACTGTCTGCCTACGTGTAAAACACATAAGCCATTTTTTTTTTTTCGAATGACAAATCTGAGTTGCGGTTGCTCGGGGGAGAGAATAGAGCGTTCGCCTCCCAACTAGGTTGCCCAGGTTCGAATCCCAGCGGTGGTTGATTGGTATGAATTCTGGTCCCTCTTCTTAACAACCACAGTGCCGACGTAAAATAAACTAAGTGGTAACCGGATTATGGGTTAGAATCCCCTTGACATCGGGCATACTGGGGGAAATTTTCGCGGTTTTTCTCTTCGTGTAACGCAAATGTGAATTAGTTCTATCATAAAATCCGCTACGAAGGCTAATTTGTCCCAATGCTTTATCCAGGAGTTTCCCTGTCTTCTGTGTTGGGTTCAAAACTACAAGGCTACGGAGTTGAGCATTGATAGTCAGAATTGGATCGGCTGTTAAACGCCGGTTATAAAGTGAAATAAAACAGCTAAATCTTGCTAAAATATTCCATCATTGAATGGAAACCTCTTGTCTAACTCTGCCTTCATTCTTTAATTTTGCTTCATAACTGGTGTCATTTGCTTGAATTCATTTTATTACCAATCATTTCATCAACATTGGTTCCACGCCGTCATATGAAAAACAGCCGCACTATATTTTGTTCAGAGTGCAGAAATATCAAATCAATTTAACTTTAATTCAATTTATACACTCGCTACTGCACAAAGTGGATATTTATACTATTATACTTTCTTTACATTGATAATATTTCATCGAAATGAATGTTTTTTAATAACCTTTTAATAAGATTATTTATCTTCTTTTCAGTTCAAACGTACATGTCTCCAGTTCAAACACAGTGTATAAACATCGACTATTATATCAACGATAATGGAATATCTGATTCCTTCACTGATCAACGTTGGATGAGACTTCGTAAGTATATCCTACTGGTTGTGTACTACAGACCCAACTGATAGTTAATAAATACACACCAAAAAATACAAAGAAAGATTATATTAATCACTAAGAGTATAGATTAAAATGTATAAAGGCACAATATGAATAGAATGACTTTTCTCAATTAAAAATAATTGAATTAATTAATTTTTAAATTGTTTGGCAAAAACTTTTATTGGGTCTGTAGTGTTGCAACAATTTTATGCCACTGTAGTACATGCTATTTTTATTAAGATGCCCCTTATAATCTTGTGAATGTGTGCAAGATGCTATACAAGAAGTAATGCAATGAAAATGCACTAGGAGATGCAATATGTTATACAGGCAATGTTGACCAATAAAAGGTATTCATGATTATCTTTTCTCTGGTTTTTCTAAATTCAATGAAAGTATGACAAATAAAAGAAACTCCAAAAAACCGAAACCCACACTTAACATAAACATTATGATCGAGATTTTAAGTGCTTGATTATTAATGAAACAAACACTCAGAATTTCCACTGATTTATAAATAACAATCCTACTTAATACATGGAAGAAATCTCATTACATGATATCTTCAACAAAAGAAATTATTATCTCTAAATATCGAAACTCTTATAGAAATAAGCTGTTATTTTCCTTTTTTTTATTGGTGAAAATGTCGAAAATATGAATTCTTGTAAATTTCCCTCCATTTCCCCCACAATGGGTCAATCGGCTTGCTTTTCCTACAAAACTTGAGTTCTTCTTAATTCTTCTCTCTCGATCCGCAAACAATTCCTCTTAAAAAAATTATCCTCCAAAAACGAAATCCTCTTAAATTTTCTTTCTCCTCGAAACACGAATTCCTCTTAAATTTATTTTTTCCTCCAAACTCAAATTCCTCTTAAATTTTCTTTCTCCTCCAAACATAAATTCTTCTTAAATTTTCCTTCTCCTCCAAAAACAAAATCCTCTTAAATTTACTTTCTCCTCCAAACACAAATTCCTCTTAAATTTTCTTTCTCCTCCAAACATAAATTCTTCTTAAATTTTCCTTCTCCTCCAAAAACGAAATCCTCTTAAATTTACTTTCTCCTCCAAACACAAATTCATCTTAAATTTTCTTTCTCCTCCTAACACGAATTCCTCTTAAATTTTCTTTCTCCTTCAAACATAAATTCTTCTTAAATTTTCTTTCTCCTCCTAACACGAATTCCTCTTAAATTTTCTTTCTCCTCCAAACACAAATTCCTCTTAAATTTTCTTTCTCCTCCAAACATAAATTCTTCTTAAATTTTCCTTCTCCTCGAAACACGAATTCCCCTTAAATTTTCTTTCTCCTCCAAACATAAATTCTTCTTAAATTTTCCTTCTCCTCGAAACACGAATTCCTCTTAAATTTTCCTTCTCCTCCAAACACGAATTCCTCTTAAATTTTCTTTCTCCTCCAAACATAAATTCTTCTTAAATTTTCCTTCTCCTCGAAACACGAATTCCTCTTAAATTTTCTTTCTCCTCCAAACACGACTCTCTTTCTTTTTCGGATATTTTCCTCTTGGTTGTAGTTGTTCACTATATTAATGCAAGCTTTTAAAAATTTGTTACCTTAACTAAGAAGAAAAAATCAAAAATCAAGTTTTTCTGTAATTAAAAGAATACCAACCAGAAGAGCGACTGGTTGTTAAAAGCCACTGGATTGGAAAGTCACTTTCCCGTGCTGTGTAGCCAGTCTGGCAACANCCTCCAAACACGACTCTCTTTCTTTTTTGGATATTTTCCTCTTGGTTGTAGTTGTTCGCTATATTAATGCAAGCTTTTAAAAATTTGTTACCTTAACTAAGAAGAAAAAATCAAGTTTTTCTGTAATTAAAAGAATACCAACCAGAAGAGCGACTGGTTGTTAAAAGCCACTGGATTGGAAAGTCACTTTCCCGTGCTGTGTAGCCAGTCTGGCAACACCAATTCAACAAAAATTACAGACCACTAGAAATATATAACTAATTGCTTTTAAGTGTTAGCAACCACTATTCTTGAAGCATTAAAGAGCAAAGGTATGCCGCTTCACTTAGAACGTTCGATCCAAGGTCGCACTTGCTAATCAGGGTTGATTGTGACACAAATTCTATGTACAAAATGTCGATATCAATTTATATACCAAACATCTTTCTAATTAAACACAATTTTTTGAACTAGCATTTATAATTAAATTACCTACTAAGGAAAAATATCACACCTCTATAGTAACTAATTCACGAAAAAATTTACTTCTTATAAGAATATGCGATATTGGATTTTAAAATCATGAAAATACAAATGGTTACATTAAATTTTAAATTACGTAAATAGGAATCATGAATCACGGTGCCTTAATATATGAATACGTAAATATGAATCATTAGCCTAATGTCCTGCTTGACTAAAATTTACAATCGAAATTTGCTGTTCCGGAAAGGGATAATGAATCGAAGGACAGGACGTGAATACGCTAATTAATTCATGTGGACGTTTTATTAAGTTACGGAAACAGACACGAAAGGTACTTCCTCTGAATAAACTATTTATATATTTTTTTCTCTCGGCGGATTAGGATTTTTCGCCCTCCAAATATTAGGGGTGACCGAAATCGGAAATAAATTGTTTTAGTGTATGATATAATAATTTAATTCAGCCATGAGACGTTGAATATTTGTACCCCATAATATCATTTTACGTTCTCATTTTTCGTCACAGTATATGCATTTTTCGTCATAGTATATGCATTTATCATCACCTCTGTATAACTATTTGCATATATTAGAAAACTTTTTGCACTCATATAGAAAAAAAAAGGTTTTAAAAATTATTTATTATTCTGTATTTACTAATTTATATTAAATATATTCCACAGATAAGACGTAAATTTATTAAACCTAACGATTTTGAATTGTTTTACTAAGTAGATTTCTTTTTATAATTGCTTCCACTTCGAAAAATCAAAGAAAGCAAGTTCAGAACTTGAACTTATTAACGTAATATCTTTAGTCTTTTTATTCAATCAATACGTGAATTTTAATTTCATTCTACAATTACAATTACAAGAACACACATTTCTATAACAAAATAAAAAAACAATTTTTTCACTTCTGATTTTTTGAAAACATAATGATGCTTTATCATGTTTTTTTAGATATGGCTAGATCTGTTGTAGCACTTTTTCTAGTATCTTTCCTGTTTTCCGTTTTATCCGCATTCCCTGGTCTTGTCGGCTGCTGGCGGAGATCGCATAGTAACATCATAGCTACTGGATTACTTCAGCTACTCGCAGGTATTACACTAAATATTTTTTAAGCACAGCTTTGGATAAGGGTTCTTGATTTTTTTAATTTTTTTTTTTTTTTAAAAAAAGAATGTTCTTAAGTCAGATATTTTTTATTTGAATCGAATTTTTATTTGTTGTTATAAAATACTATAAGATATTAAGCATATATAGTTACAATTTATAAATACAACTATAATAATAAACGCAAATGCATGATACGAATTCATTGAAAATGGAAAAGAAATAGATCTTTGATTAACCCTTTGATTCAGAATTTATATTTTTCATATTTTATATAAATTGAAGTCAAAATGAGTCAAAAAAATATTATTGTTCTAGAAATTTACTAACTTATGGATATGAAGTATAGCATGAAACGCTGGTGTCTTTCTCTGCGTTATATTCAAAATTCTCTAAACACGGCTCACTTCCAAACTGTAATTTTTAAAAATTTCACTTATTTGCAGTTATTTAGATTTAAGAGAAACAGTTATTCATCATTAAAATTTTGTTGATTTACAATATCAAATATTAATAAATGTTTGAATATGAATCAAAAAAAATTTTCAATCTACATTTTTTGAAGTTTATATTTTAGTACAAATATAATTCCGATAATGTAACATATTTTTTTAGTTTTTAATAATTAAAAATAGCGAAATATATTTTTGTTTGTAATTAGAGGGCCAGAAAAAAATACATAAAAAAGGGACACCGTTGTCCTATCTCCGCCAAAGGGTTAACAACTAAAGAACTGGCTAAAAAATCACAGATTTCTGGAGAAAAAAAAATTTGAAGTAACAAAATAAATTTCATTGCCTTTACCTTAATATCTGACTAAAAAATATTCCTATATAGAATAACTTTTTTAAAAAATGCATTAATATGGAAAGGCATTCTAAATTTATCTTTAAACAGCTTCTTTATGCTATATCAGATAATTTCCTTTTAATACTGCATTTACTATATGATTCACAAATATATTTGAAATATTAAAACTAAATATGGTTTTGAAGGTTGATCTTAAAGATCAATCTTAAGTCAAAACTATGTTAAAATTCCTAGTTAAAACATGTTTTAAATTTTAAATAAAATCATGTTTTTAGAAGGAAAAAAAACGATTTGTCAAATCATATTTTTTTTAATGAATCATGTTGAAAAAAATGTATTTTAAATAACTACTTTTTCAAAATATATAAATACATATATAAAAAAGTACATTAAATTTTCCCTTTCTTTGAATTTTAAAAATTAAAACTATGAAAATCAATAAAAACTTTTAACGCATATTAAAACGCTTTATAAATTTTTAAATTAAAGATTTCTGTAAAAAAAATTTATTCAAATCAACGATATTTTAAGAAAATCATTTGATTTAAATCATGATTTACATTCTGATTTCATCAATGGACCTTTCTTTATATGGTTGTTTGTTCACTAACAAAATTTTATGTGGTTGTTTGTTAACTAACAAAAATTTTGTATGATTGTTTGCTCATTAGCGCAATTTAATATAATTTATTTGATTTATTTAATGAGCGCAATTTAATATTTTTATTTCTTTTGAGTTAAGCTGTTCTGTTCTTTTGCGTTAAAACAATCTGTATATTAGTGGCGGTCGCTGTTGATATCGAATAATATAATATCGATGATCAATTAATAAAAATGATTAGAAAATATCCTTTTAACTTCAAAATTCCCGTAGATATAGATTGTTAATGTTTTCATCAAATGTTAGGGTCATATACACTAGAGCACTTGAAAATAAATTGTAAATTATTTTTCTTACCTAAATTGTTCGAATTTTTTTGAAATAAAAATGTTAAATGTTTTCATAATAATTATTTTTAAAATGTTGCAAACCTAAAACTGAACTAAACTCAGTGGCGCGACAGCACATAGAGGGCCAAGGCCTACTGTGCTCATCTCAGTTTTCTTGACGCTCTGGGGTGCAGGAGCAGATGTTCCAATCAGGTGGTTAGCCGAACGCGAAACCCCAGAGCTTAGTTCCCAAGCATGCTTGGTACTCATTTATCGACCCACCGAAGGGATGAAAGGCTGAGTCAACCTTGCCCGGCTCGAGGATNTTTTGAAATAAAAATGTTAAATGTTTTCATATTAATTATTTTTAAAATGTTGCATACCTAAAACTGAACTAAACTCAGTGGCGCGACAGCACATAGAGGGCCAAGGCCTACTGTGCCCATCTCAGTTTTCTTGACGTTCTGGGGTGCAGGAGCAGATGTTCCAATCAGGTGGTTAGCCGAACGCGAAACCCCAGTGCTTAGTTCCCATGCATGCTTGGTACTCATTTATCGACCCACCGAAGGGATGAAAGGCTGAGTCAACCTTGCCCGGCCCGAGGATCGTACCCAGGACCTGTGACACGGGTTGCATACCTAATTATAAGATAATAATTATGCAATTTGAGATATCAAAGCTTTTCTAATTCATTTTAAATACAATAGAAGTACTTTTGTAGCTTTAAAGTAAATTTTTAAAAGAAATTACTTTGCGTAAATAAAGTTATACAGTTTTGTGTCAGATTTTCCAGTATTGAATCTGTCACTAAAATAGACATTTTCATTCTACTTTTTATTATTCTAATTTAAGGTAAATTATAGAGTTTTTTTTTATTTTATTTTCTTATTTTGAGTATTCTTAATGTTATTTAAAAGCACATAAAATATTTCTCTGATAGAAATTTAATTCAATGAAACAATGCATAAGAAGCTAAATTTTACCAAGGAAAGTTAGGTCGTGAAAATATTATACTACGAATGATAATCTAATCTACATTACTCCTTAAATTGGAACTATGGTTCCAAAATGCTAGATAAATCAAGAGATATTTAACTGTTTAATACTTTTAGGCCACTCTATTACGTTTCGGGGAGTTTGGAGAAAATATGATCAGTCATTGTTTAAAATAGTTCGGGAGTGCAATTTTTTGTGCAAAACATCACAATTTTTTTAGTGGGCAATGGATGGTATTTTTAACACTAGTTAGCGCTGCAAGCTCTTGAGTGCCTATATTTCCGGGTTACTGTTTTTTGTGTGTTTTGAAGCCATTTGGCTCACAATGTGATCATTGTGTTTTGAAACTCTCTTGAGTAGTATTTCTTGCATACGTGTATTTGATACCTGATTTAGTATTTATGGTTAAAAAAAGAATCGTTATTAGAATTCTCATTTGAAGACCTATCATTTCAAGATGAGAGAATTGTCATTTGAAAAAAAGAATCTTTATAAAACACTTCCTACTTAACAAAATACAGAGTTCGAAATTTAAACCTAAATGATAATTTGTGAAATGAACTTCATCTCGCTGCTCGAACTAACTAATGATGGTGCACGGCTTGCTCCAGGAACAAACAGTAATAAACAAGTAAAAAGAGGCCAAATCAGAGCTGCCAAAAAAGCGAGTTCTTTCTAAATCGACCTACCATGTCATGTTTTTTAACAATATATATCTAAATAAGTGAAACATATTTTCGCTTCAAACTCCCCAGAATAGGTCAAGAGCTCGAGATTGTTCTTGTTTACATTTATATTGAAAACACAATTCATTCAAAACAAAAAAGTGCAATTTTTAGTCGATCATTTTCAAATATTAACAGAATATTTGGTAGCATTAATAGAAGTCTGTGTTCAACGTTTTAGAAAAAAAATAATTATTAGTTTGAAAGTTATAGATAAAAGTATAGTTTTTTACTGTTGGTAATTAAAAAGTTCCTTCAGGCGAACGAACTTTTAATTTTTTTAATTAAATCTTTACCCAAATACTTTGTTCATGGGCAGTTAAATAAATTTAAGTGATTATGGTAACCATATAAAAATATAACGTAGGCATTAAGTTTTTATTTTGTCACCAAAACTTTCTTCAAAAAATGCAAAATGCAAAAAATTATTTCGGTACAAAAATAATGTCATCATTAGTAAAGTGTGGTATCACTATGGATGGTTTATTTTTTATAACCATCGTTGAACAGCCTCTACCCAATTGTTTTGGGTTTACGAATACTCACGTTCAAGTCCGCAGCCTTGTCATTTTGAACCCAATCCAGAAGACAAGGGAACTCCTGGACCAAATTTTGGGAAAAATTTGCCTTCGTGAAAAACTTTCTGATGGAACCAGCCCACATTTGCGTTACATTGAAACGAAGACCACGAGAACCTCCCACGGTTAGCCTGGAGGCAAAGGGAACCTAACACATGATCCGTTTACCACTGAGGATATTTCACGTCAGCACTGTGGTTGGTGCAAGCCGGATGCGGAATTCGTATACTATGGATGGTTGATCGTGTAGAGCTAAACACAGATGGCGCTAGCGGTTAAAATTCTACGTAAAACTTCCAGATTCAAACTTTTGATTGATTTTTTAAGCCTACGCTTGAAAAGCTCGCCATCCAATATTATGACACTCGTAGTGCTTGCATCATAACGCGTTCTTTTAATTTAAATTTCAACTAAACGAGCAACAAATGAATTCGACGACTCTAGAAACATACAATGATGCTATCCAAAATAAAATAAACTGCTATTTCTAATACTAATATAGCCAAATAAGGGATAACACGCAAAACATGGCACACTTTATTTATGTTGCAATATCAATTTTCTGATATTTGTTTTTTCTCTCACGACCAGTTGGAATTTATACATTTCAGAAAACTCTTATGAATGGTAAAATTACGAGCAAATTTGAACACAAATCACATTAACAAAACTTCTTAGAATATTAACCTATTCACACATCTCCTCGTAAGGATAACATGAGCGGAGGGATACACCCGAAGTTTTCTAAATTTCTTCCGGTTTTAGGAAGATTGTAATTGTTTACATTCAGTCCACCATCCAAATTGCCTTATAGATCCAAAACTATTTATCATTATATTTTATTATTTATTTCAGGACTGGTTGTAGCATCAGCAATTGCATTATGGCATGCGATTCCCCATTATGAATATGAAAAACTGAATTTTCCAGAAATGAGCTTCAGCCGATGGCCCGAGGTAATAATAAATTTCGATTAAATTATTTATATGAAGTTTTTATTATTATAAAGTTATTAATAAATTTATTTGTATCGAAGACTTTTCTCAAATGATAACGTTGAAAACTTCCAATGGCACAATTTTTCAATTTATGGAAATACTTTTTAACCAATCAGTATGGGGTACTTTTTCAAGAATTTTTATATAAAAATACTACATCGAAAACGAATAATTAAAAATAGGTATAGTGTTTTATTAAAAAATATTTTTCCATAAATAATAAAGACTCTGGAACTAAATAACGCAACAACTTGATTTAAATAAATAAAATAACGTCTTTTAATTTCATTTTTGTTCAAAGGAAAGCTAAAAAACTGGGTTAAAAACCATTATCTAGGTCTCGAGGTTACGGTTGCATTATCAGAATTAATATATTCTCAAATGGCAACAACTGCTTTTTCTCATATAAATGTGATCAATAAAATGTGATGTTTTTCATGTTTTCTACTTTTTAATTAATAAAGATTTTGTAGATAATCATGAAACTCGTTTACTCAAAGATAATTTCAGGTAACTAAAATTTTTAATAAATATTTAGTATTCAATTTCATAAACTATAAAAAAAATAATAAATTGTACACTAGTTTGTAAAGTGTGAAAAAAAATTTAAAAAAAATTATTATATCAATCCAAATAATTTTGTATTGCTAACTATAAGGTTTGAAATTAATCAATTTGTTCCCCAGAAATATAACTCTTTATCCAAAATAATAAGCTTTTTAACCGAATCAGCGTTGCATTTTCTTTTAGAAAATGAACTTAAGAGTGTTCCCACTTCTTAAGAAAAAGACTAACGTTTATAAACACCGTATGTTATTCTTTATAGACTATGACCAAACTTATACCACCGCTTTCGGTTTAGTTTATGAATCGAAAAATGTCCGTTGTTGGTGCTTCTGCGGTTAATAAATTAGTTTATGAATATAGAATAATTACAGAGAAACAATTGAGTTGTATTATAAATAAATATAACATTGTTTTGAAACTTATACTTTCTTATTTCCAGGTATTACAGATCTATAGCAAAAGCTACTATGGATGGTCTTACGTATTGGCATGGCTTGGAGTTGCTTTGACTTTATCTTCATCGTTTATGTTTCTGTGTGGAGCACAGTGTTTGAGAAAAGAAAAGCGCAAGGAAAAAACTCAGGGAACGGCCTATCTAGTTCCAATATACGCTGGTCCGTATCATTGTCCGTATTCATACTGATGCAAAAAAAAACAATTTAGATATAGAAATGGAAGAAACACTTCGATGAGATGAATTATCAACATTTTAAATGAATCATCTCTGGTTTCATCAGTCAAGATTTCACATTGTTTGTCATTGAACATGAGTGTTACCTGTAAATAGTTTATAATTAACAAAACTGTTTGATATATTTGTTATGAATAAATGTTTGGTTCTGTTTTTCGTACATTAGTTTAGTTTTTTCCATTATACACAAGAATCGTATTATCTCTAGATAAATTGGCTCTTCAGATTCTTGCATGGACTCTGAATAAGTTCTTAACCGGTTCTGTTATGAGACTCTGCCTGTTTGTGTGTGTGAGGAAAAAGCTAGCTTCAAAACCGGTGTTAAAATTGGAAGCATGTTTTGGTTATAAGCTCGGTTAACAGTTAACTTTACTAAGTCACAAAATGAAAAGATAACGCAATGTCTATTACTATTACGTTATAAAAATGTAGATATGTGATTAATTCAACGTTCGCAATCTTTGAAAATGTTATAGCAACACCCTGATTACGCGAAGCTGACAAAAGTCAAGAATCTAAGTGCTAAATGTTTCATCATCTAGGGTTAGTAACATCTATTTTTAAAGAATGTTTTCTTTGATAACAATAAAATGAATGAATTATGAAAAGGATATATGCATTTCTTCTTCTCTTTTTATTCTTATTTTAATGGAAACCATATTTCAACTCATTAATTTTCAGTCTATGCATAAACTAAAATTAAATTAAAAAATAGACTAGTTATAGGTCAAGACCTGCGAATTCAATTGTCTGACATAAAACCCAATTTTAATTTATGAAACAATATGATAAAAAATATTCATTGTTCATTCATTTATTAAATATTTTCAAAATAATTAATAATTCAGATTATTACATATTTAATTTTCTTTCGTTACTTAATATGTTCACAGCTGCTAATTAAATTTATTCATCAAGTCTCAGGTTTTCGCCAAAAGTACGTCAACCATTTAGGGTCCAATAGCCGAAACAAAGATTAAGAATAGCTTACTTATACAATGAGACTCTCCGTCGGCGTTACATCTCATACGTTAGACGTTTCTGTGCTAGCTTGCTATGCGACGAAGAAAAAAATTGCATCATTGAAACTGAATTCGTCGCTACTTACACGTCTCTTTAAATCCCGCGATTATTTTTGTAATTCTAAATATTGCTAAGAGACGGCGCAACTAGTCTTCCTGTTAACACAATTTTTGCATTGAGATTTCCCTCCTTGAATTGAAATCAAAATCATTTTGAATTTTTATGACAAAATAAGCAAAATAAATCTGTAATAAATTTTTCTAGTTTTGTTATAAATGTGATTTTTAAGCTCTGATGCCCAACTGTTTTAACTGTAAGGTAGGAAAAATATTTTTCAAAATATTTTTTACCTAATTTTAAGAATTTTTTTATGCAGATATTCATCTTAAAAGCCTTAGAACAGTGGAGTTAAAAATATGTTATCACGGTGTATTTTTTTAAGTCAAAACTGGGGTACATTGCAGGGACAACTGGAATTCAGTGGACGGGACATCGCATATTTCACCCCAATAGGTCAAACAAAAAACTGCTTCCTGACAAAAATATCTCACATTTTAGAATTTAGGATGGAACAAATATTGATTTTCAGCAATAAAATTAAATTTTTGGGTCGGAAATTCGAAAAAAAATTCGTCAGATGTTAAGGTCCTTGACCGTAACAAAGAACATTGTATGTTCGTGTTCCGATGCCAAAGTAGAACGCAAGTAAGTATAATTCTTATGATCATTTGTAAAACCATTAGTTTGTCCGCCGAAAATTATTGTTCTTTCACGAAACACTTAGAAGTGAGAAGCAGTGGCGTACGCAGAATTTTTTCAAGGGGGGTGTTCATAATTTTCTGAAACTACTAAAAGAAATTCGAGTTCTGTAATAAAGCACGATTATTTCCCTAATTTAAACAGCTAGACAATTTCGACTTTTTATTTAGACAACATTGTTTAGTTAAATTTTGATTTGATTTTTTAAGTTTAAGAACATAATGTAATATCTTCTAAAAAAAGTCCAATGTCATATGAGGGGGAAGTAACTCTTTGAGGGCCACTTTCACATTCATCAGATTTTGTTATGCTGGAAACGTTTTCTTCAACGGAAGTATCACATTTCTGTACAACAGAAAAACTTACATTGGTACTAGATGCTGTCACCTCACTAAT